AAAAGATTGAAGTTGTCAAGGACTTCATTCTTCTTGGATCAACTATCAACACTCATGGAAGCAGCAGTCAAGAAATCAAAGGATGTATTGCACTAGGCAGATCTGCTACACAAGATCTTTTTAAAGTGTGAAAAAGCAAAGATGTCAGCTTGAGGACTAAGGTGTGCCTGACCCAAGCCATGGTATTTTCAATAATCTCATATGCATGTGAAAGTTGGACAGTAAATAAGAATGACCATGTAGAAGAATTGATGCTTTTGAGTTATAGTGTTGGAGAAGAATATTGAAAGTGCCACGGGCTGCCCAGAGAACCAACAGATCTGTGTTGGAAGAAGTGCAGCTAGAGTGCTTCTTGGAGGCCAGGATGGCCAAACTTCACCTCTCATACTTCGGCCAGTTTGTCAGGAGGGACCAGTCTCTGGACAAGGATATCATGTTTGGTAAGATGAAGGGTCAGAGAAAAAGAGGAAGACCCCCAGCGAGATGGATTGGTGAAGTGGCAGCATCAATGGGCTCAAGTGTAGCAACAATAGTGAGGTTGGCCCAGGATCGGGCAGTGTTTCGTTCTGCTGTGCATAAGGTCATTATGAGTCAGCACTGACTTGATGGCACCTAACAACAACAACATGCACTTATGTCCAATTTCTTAAATCAGATTTCATTCTAGCCAATCCAGTTAGCTTCCTATAGCAGTTGTGATGCAAGTTTGCATGCTGATCCCAAGTAGCAATGTCCTAAACATAAGTATCCCTTCCTCACCCCCAAACACATACATATAAAAGTCTCAGTTGTGATAGCTCTACCCTATGAAGTTACCAAGAGCCCTGATTACTTTTATGTCATTGATCTGCCAAAATAGAGTTTGCCTTCATCCACATAAACCAGGATACAGTATCATTATTGGCATTTCAGGAAAGAGGAAAAGGTGAAACTGGGGATACAATATGGAAATTTCATGTTTCACTTCTGCTCATATCTTATTGGCCAAAAGTAAGGCATACATTTACACAGTGTTGTAAAGGTTGCTGAGAAATATGCTCTTTATTTAGGATAGCCATGTTCCCTGATAGAATTTTTATTATTAGTTAAGAAAAGAAAAACAATCATTGAGGAATGACAATTATCTTTATTCCCCTTTTAATGACTGATACTGACATATAACTTTTCTTCTTACTTAAGAATGTTCAAACTTGCCATTTATCTTTGTTCATGTTTTTTCCCTCTTGTTCAACCATAAAACTTTAATTTTTATTTGCTTCATTGATTTAATCCAAATGTCCTAGAAGTTCTAAATTCTGTTAGTTCTTTGACATTTTGTTATTTCTATCTGTTTTGGCAATGTTTGTGTGGTTCCCTTGGCTCTAATTTTCTTGTGTCCTCAGTAGATGTAAAAAGTTACCTTTTAAAAATCTACTCATATAGTACGTTTGGAGTCCTAGTGTGGTGCTTTGGGTTAATGTGCTGGACTGCAAAGTCGGTTTGAACCACAAGGTCAGCAGTTCAAGCTCACCAGCTGTTTCTTGGAAACCCTATACAGGGTCACTTTGGGTGGGAACTAACTTGTCTGCACTTAACAACAACTTAACAACAGCACAGTACCTTTAAGGAGTGCTGGTAGCAGAGCAGAGTGGGTTATGCGTTGGGCTGCTAACTGCAAGATCAGAAGTTGAAATCCACCAATCGCTCTGCAGGAGAAAGATTTTCTGCCCCCGTAAAAATGTACAGCCTAAGAAACCTTAAAGTCAGGACTAAGATTACAGCCCACTACAACCACTATAGAGTCTATAGTGGGAAACATATGACATGCTTTTCAAAGATGACACTAAAACTGACTTTTGGTAGTAAGAGCTGCCTAATTATCATTTTTACTATGCATATACACATACTTTTCCAAGTTTGAATATTTGTTGTTTACTATTGCACTTTTTAAAAAATTGATGTATTAAGCCTTATATACCACATCTCAGATCCTCTGTATAAAAAATAATGCACACCAAACCATCATAGCAATTTCTACTCCCATAGCAATTTCTACTCAGCTAGGATTGACAATTCTTTGCAATGGTCACACAGAACTGACACCATACTTGCAGCTAATGAGGTTTATAAGGAAGTTAAAAAGGTTATAATTCAGGATCAGAAATGTTCAAGGCACAGTTATTCTAATCAGAATAGCGTCTCCTCTGCAGTACCCACAGGAAGCCCTCTCTCTGGCCCTTGACCCATCCTCTGACCTTCTCAGGCAATGTTACAAAGCTCTGTTAGGATTGCTGATAAATGCTCAAAGGGCATACCATGCTACCATAAGCATCAGCCTGAAGGCACTTGGCTGTAGATCCATAGGTCAGCAAACCTAGCTCCCCCATTCTGCAAGCAAACCTCCTGCCCATAGTCACTCAGCTCCATGGGCTAGGCAAGTCTCCCACTGTCTCTAATGCTCAGGGTCTTGGTTATTCTGCTGCTTGTTGGCTGCCATTCATCTGCTACTCTTCCAGTGTCATGGCTTGCTGACATTGAGAAGGTCCCATGCTCAGGGATCTTGGAGTCCAAAGAATATACGCCATTCCTGACTCTACTTCTTGGATGGCAGTGAAAAGTCTCTGAGACAGCTTTTATACCTATTTTAGAGATCCATATTTTTACAAAATCACAATGAACTTTGTTAACAATCATTGACAACTGAATCATATCATCCTATCAGTATCTTCTATTGCCTTCTCGGACCCAGACCCATCAGGAAGAGTTATTTGGTGGGAGTTACAGAGATTAAGGTTAGCAGAGACATACTAAGTAATTCACTATACTACACACTTATCCAAACACGTAGGTATTATCTTTGACAAGTTTTATACTACCTTGCTCTTATAGAGCAACTGGGCCACAAAATCTCATTTTTTCACTTTGGAAACATTACTGATCCTTATACTAAACATAAAACATGGTGTCAATATCCCCATTGACACTGCTAGTCTCTATACTAACCCTTTTGTTATCCTTTGCAGAACATTCTTGTGGAAAATGCTCCGGTCAGGGTCACAGCAGGAAACAGATGGCTCACACAAATTGAGTAATTAGGAAGTGTTTAATAAGGAAACTATTACAAAGATGCAGTCTGGGTTGAGAGAACACAACTACAGATGTTAAGCATACAGAGGTCAACAAAATAGGATACCACACCACCTAGGTTTAAGGAGCAAGGGAAATGGTTGGATATTGGAAGGAGTAGAGAGGATCTAAAGACTTTGGCCTACCACAACCCTGCTAGGTATAGGGTCCAGGAGAATAAAGACCCTAACCTCCTTCTCCTCCTGTCCTTCAATCTTCTTCTGTTAATACCTTTTTTTTGGCTAAATCTGATGGAAATCAAAGGGAATGACTCCCATGGCCCAGAGCAAGGCAGAGACTAGGAAGAAGAGTATATCTAGAGGGGCAAACAGAAACTACCAGCATAGTAAACATCCATTTTTACTTGGTGTCTTCCAAAGCTGACAGTTACCAGTTTTTATATTTCTTTTCTGAATATTTCATGGAACTGGCCGAATAAATGGTATTGCAATACAGTTAAGCATCCACCTTTTCCCTTTTTGTTTGAATTATTTGTCTGCTTTTGCTTTAACACTAATCTCAAGGCTTTAAAAGATTCATGGTAGAGTTTAAGCTGAAAACATTGAAACAGAAACGAGTCCATTTCAATAATATCCCTTTAAATCTCTACAACAGGAACATTATTCAACTTAATATTTAATTGAGCACAGGCATTCTCTGTGCAACCTAAATTACATATTGTCAGTGAATCTACTTGTGAATAAAAATACAGGACATCCCCTTTGTCTAGAATACTCTGTAATGGTAGAACTTCGTTATGTAGAGGGCTTCAACACCATATGTTTTAACAAATACTTGGGTCACCAGGGTATGTATAATGGAAGGACATAATTAAAGTTTAATCTGTTCAGTAAAAGATACCATTAATTAATCAAGGTAATTTGTTGGGTTATTAATTGGTTCTGGAGACATGTCAAGATACTAATTTAAATGAAAATTTCTCCTTAATTGTCTAGACAGCCCCACGACCATATACTGCCCCAGGAAATATGCAGCCTCCAATTCGATTGCAACCTCTTTCCAGTAATCGTTCAGCAGAAACTGTTCCAAAGACATCTTCGGGGTCCAGATCAAAGACTTCATTGCTGGAAAATGAAGCTCCATTTCCTATTGGGGTAAAAGCTGTTTCTTCAAGAGATACTTTATATACTTTATTAGAATATTAGAGTATCACGATTCTTAAGGTGCTTTATTATTAAATCAATAATCTACTCAGTGAAATTTATAATGTGTATTTATTAAGCAGTTACTATGTGCCTCTGTTTAATTGCATTTTACTCTTAACTGGAAAGCCTATTATGTTTGTATTACTGAGAAAGACGAATAAGGAATGGATTTGTAATAATGTAAGGTGACATCTCATTGATTTGAAGGACTGATTGAAAAACAAAGAGGAAAGACTTTTTATAGACAGATATGACTTCTATCAGAAAAAAAACAGTGTTGTCTGCATCTAAATTTTAAATGCATGAACCCTAGAAAATGAAACTTTCCAAGAATAGGTTTGCATTTGCATGCTGACTTATTTTCCCATCAGTGTATGAAATTGCCTCAAGTTTGGCTCTTGAGAAGGTTGAATATAGTAGAAAAAGAATGGCCATCTTTTACAACTGCTGAGTTAAACACACATAGAAGCTTGACTCTGCTTGCCTTTCAAGAATATGTCTCAGGTAAATTTCACTTATTTTAATAAAATATAAAAAGAAGGTATGGTGATCTTAAAATATGAGTTACTTAAACAGGGATGACTTATTTTAACTCATTAATTAGAGGAGGGATTTGTGTATACTTCTAACATGAAGAACATTGCTTGAGAAAGAACTTACTTCATGAATACAATTTTCGTTATGTTCAAATGGTTGAATTTTGTTCCATTCCTTATTAAGAAGCACAAGACATGAAATGAAGATATTTTCATCTTTAACTGACAGATTAACTTGACACTAAGAAATTAATTCAGACAAATAAATTATTGTTTGACAGTAAAAGTACAAATATAATTCTTAAAATAAAAAACTAATATTTTAATCCATTTAATATGCTTTTCAGGTTGTAAAACACTTTTCATAAACCTTAATTCTGTTAATTTAAGACTGTTGTTAAGTGCCGTCAAGTCAGTTCTGACTTATAGTGACCCTGTTTACAGGGTTTCTGACGAGTGGCTGGTGAGTTTGAATCGACAAGCTTATGGTTCAAACAAACCTTCCAGTGCTTATCCTACAGCACCATAATAATTTAATACTAGTTTCTCAGAAATCAGAAGAAATTAATTGAAAGCTGGAAGAGCTTTCTTTAGGAAGTCTGCTTAGAATGAGCCTGAAAGTTGTTGGGTTTCACATCACTTAGGTTGGCACTCTCTAGGATCTGGTCTTCATTTTGATGGCCTAGAGATGTTCCATTTCAGCCAGTGTCCAGGAATAAGGGTATCTAGTCTGTTGTATTGAATCAGATGATCTGAAATAACTTACAAAAGTTTATCTTTCCCTCTGCAGTAATCTAAAATAGGTAGCCAAATCAAAACTGAGTCATTCTATTGATTCACCAAAAGGATCAAATGCTCCTCTCTAAGACTGAAACTCAAAGTAAACACATGAGCAGGCATGTAAGCTTGCTGATGACTACATTGGTCTACTGGTAAGTGAAAGAAGGGGAAAGGCAGCAATGAAGAAATGGGCTGAGTTCAACCACATCACATAGACTCCCGTTGACCTGGAGCTAAAAGAGAAAAGAGGAAGGGCTGGTTGGTCCTAAGTGTGGTGATACCTGAGCCACTGGACATGGACATAGCCACAGAGGGCTATAGATAAGAGTGAAGCATCCAGCTGATATGAAGTGGAGGGAGATGCACAAGAACATCCAAAGTTGCAGATATTACCCATTTGACCTAGCCTTGATGGCTCGATAATCAGAACTCTACTAGAGGAAGATTAAAAAATAAAAATAAAAAGAACAAAATAATTTTTGGTAAAGGAAATGAAGGTAAATTGCTACAATTTGATGATCTTGACCTATACTCATGGGAGGTATTAACTCTAAATACCAAAAGAGAGGGAAGGAATCTTCACATCATACATTGGCTACTTAAAATGAGGGAGCAATAAAGGTACAAAGTGACTGGCTTACAAACTTTCAAGGGACAGTTCCATTGAAAAGTGTGTGGGAAAAAGTTCCCACTGAATAGTTTTCATCTTGTCTAGATGGGTCTGGTTAAAAGAGATGAAATAAGATCCTTATGATTCAATAGTGAGTAATTGTTATCATGACTAATTGTGACTGTCAAAATTGTAAAGGTAGAAGTTTTGTAAAAACAAAACAAAACAGGGGAGTAGTTAATCTTAAAGTCCAGAAATAAAGGACCCTAGGACCATCAAGGGAGAAGAACACAAGCAGAATGCGAGACCATATCCAGAGAAGCAGCGATACCAGACTGAGGCAGAGATAAGGACATGATGAGAGGGAGCAGCTGAAGACTGTAGATTCATGGGAAGAGAGGGATTAAGAGATAGCGGCCAGGAGGCAGACTTAAAGAATGTTTCCTTTGGTGGTGTAAATTATTATATATGCCTGAGTGTTTTAAAAAAAAAAAGAGCTAAAGTAAATAGAGAGAAATACTGTTAACTTATGGTAGCTCTTGTCGTTGTTGTTAGGTGCCATCAAGTTGGTATTGACTCATAGTGACCTATTGCACAGTAAAACAAAACACTACCCGATCCTGGGCCAACCTCACTATTGTTGCCACACTTGAGCCCATTGATGCTGCTACTTTGCCAATCCACCTCACTGGGGGCCTTCTTCTTTTTCTCTGACCCTCCACCATACCAAACATGATATCCTTCTCCAGCGACTGGTCCCTCCTGATAATATGTCCAAAATATGAGAGACAAAGTTTGGCCATCCTGGCCTCCAAGGAGCACTCTGGCTGCACTTCTTCTAACACAGATTTGTTGGTTCTTTTGGCAGCCCATGGCACTTTCAATACTCTCCTCCAACACCATAACTCAAAAGCACCAATTCTTCTGCGGTCTTCCTTATTTACTGTCCAGTTTTTGCATACATATAAGGTTCTTGAAAATACTGTGGCTTGGG